GCAGCGCTTCCAGCTCAGAATGCAAAGCCGACTCCACTCTACTCACATTACGCATCCCCATCAGTTGACTATTTCCCATGCTATCCTTACAGTCCCAACCACAACCGGAAAATTGATCCATAGAGGTCCAAGAACCATCTATCATGCAAATATCTTGTAGGCTTATGGCCTGACGTTCAGTATCGCCATCCTCTTGTGTAATCACAACATCCTGCTCATTAGCTTGGAACCAGGCAAGACACTCACTCTCTCCATACCGGGCCAATTCCAAAGGGTCTCTATCTATTCCTCTGAACAACTTATCATTCCGAGCCTTCCAAACGTACCATATCAACCAAGGATAAGGATCTCTTTCTAGTTCTGGCCCACAAATACTCTTCTTCCGCCAGAACAGATAATCCATATTCGAATAAGTGCTCTCCAAAGGGAATAAAGCTACACTGGTAGGTATAGATGCTAAGGCCCATACCTGTAAAGCCGGTGGGCATTGGAAAATTGCATGTGCAATTGTTTCATCCGGTTTTCCGCATCGTGGGCAGAAATTATCGCATCTCATGTGTCTACGATTCAGCGCACTCGTAACAGCCACCTGCCCCGATATAATCTGCTACATAAGATGACACATCTTCGGGGGTGCTTTAACCTTCAAAACTTGTGCTTGAAGCCTTTTAAAGCTAGGTTCATCTACCAAGTTCTCATCCTCTCTCATAAGTATATTACGAGCTACCCAATAGCCAGACTTGACTGTATACTGTCCACTCCTAGTGTAACTCCAGCAGTGTGTGTCTCTACGATAGGTCAAACTAATAGCTATACTCCTTATGAGAGGTATATCAGCAGCGTCAACATAGCTTGCCAGCCGCTCCAGATCCCAAGACTTTGTTTCTTGATTGATAAGATCACTCACTCTCATATTCGGATGCAGAACCAGGGCTGATGCTTGCGCTGGTCTCGCTGGGATTGTGGGAATCCATGGATCCTCCCATACCTTCACTTCATACCCTGAATGAATTTTATGTCTAACCCCCAATAGCAATAATTCACGTGCAGCCAAGATACTTGTCCACACATATGATGGACTGCTGGCAGTAAGCTTTCGCAAAGGCGAACTTAATCTATAATACCGCCCTCTCATAACACGAGCAACCAATGAATCCGGATTTTGGGCTAATCTCCACAACTTCTTTGCTAATAATGCCACATTAAACTCATGTATCATCCTGAATCCAATTCCACCCTCTTCTTTAGGTAGACATAGCTTATCCCATGTTGTCCAGTGTAAGCCTCTCTTTGGTGGGTTTGAACTCCACCAAAACTGTGCAATGGCACTAGCCAAAGCATCACATATCTCTAAAGGGAGCAAAAAACAAGACATAACATATGTTGGGAGAGCTAACAAGATTGACTTAATCATAACTTCCTTTCCACCTTTGGAAAACCATCTACCCGTCCATCCATTCACTCTGTGCCGAAGTTTGTCTTTTAAGAAGGCAAACATCTTACATTTCGAGCCACTGATATCCTCTGGTATCCCTAGGTAGGTTCCCATCCCTGCATCATTTTGTCTCTTAAGTGTATCTTTGATCTCCTGCCTAGCCTCTTGACCGATCCTCTTACCAAAGAGTAAAGAAGATTTGTCAAAATTGATGCACTGTCCAGATGCATGTCCATATTTCCTAACCACTTTCATTACTTCTTCACATTCATGGGGCTCCGCCTTACAAAATAACAGGCTATCATCAGCAAAGAGCAAGTGGGATATCGAGGGACACGCACGTGTGATGCGCATCCCCGTTATCTTTCCCTGATTCTCTGCGTGATTAAGAAGGCTAACGAGCGCTTCCGTGCATAGAATAAAAATGAAAGGGGATAAAGGATCTCCCTGACGTAGACCTCTCTCCGGGACAATATTTCCTCGTGGCTGTCCATTCATGAGTACCTTATACTTTACTGTTGTTATGCATCGCATAATCCAGGTATTCCATATTTCGGAAAACCCCATCTTCCTCGTGGTGGCTTCAATGAAAGACCATTCCATACGATCATATGCCTTACTCATGTCTTTTTTGATGGCCATCCTCTTATTGCGTCCACTTGGTTTTGTTTTTAAGGCATGGAACAATTCCTGGGCAATCATTATGTTGTCGGATATCTGTCTCCCAGCAATAAAGGCTGACTCGGTTTCAGAAATCCTATCTGGAAGAACCTTCTTAAGTCTTTGGCATAAGACCTTGGAGATAATCTTGTAGCAAACATTACAAAGAGTGATGGGTCGTAGTTAGCTCATCTGGTTTGGCTTTTCAACTTTTGGGATAAGACAAATATTAGTATCAGTGAGACCCGTCGGAATAGTCCCTTGAAATAAGAATTTATTAACCATACGAGTTAGATCCTCCTTGACGATATCCCAAAAATTTTGATAGAACAAAGCTGTCATTCCGTCAGGTCCACGAGCTTTCTCAGGATGCATAGTAAAGAGGGCTAATTTAACCTCCCACTCTGAAACTGGAGCTGTGAGCCCCTCCTTGTCTGCAAGCGTAATTGTAGTGGTTACTTCAGAAAGTGCCTCCTCAATCTCCCCAGGGTTCGAAGATTGAAATATTTGGCGAAAATAACTAGTAGCAATGGCTACCAAGCCTTCCTCATGATTTTGACAAATATCACTATAATATTTAAATTTTAAATACATGATTTTGAATTAGTAAATAGATCAGATAAACCATTTTAAAATTTCATATTCTAAATTTATAATACATTGATAAAATTTCTAAATCCTATAACTTATGAATAAAATATGGTAATTGTATATACGATTTCCCTTATAGTAATATTAAATTTTACAATATAACTTGTGATAAATAATTTGACATAAAACTATATAGTTCACATAAATGTAATTTATTTATCATAAATATACTTTAAAACATGATAAAGTTGTATGTTTCTCATATTTACATAAAAGTTTTTATTAATAACACTATAACTGATTATATCTTATATATTAAAACAGAAGTCATAACTTGATTTCATGTGTGATTTTTTTAAAAATGGACTGTTACTAGAAAGTTATGTTACATTAACTCTCTAATAATATTATCATTATTATATCTTATAATGTGCTTAACAATTTTGTTTTGGTAAATTACCCCACACCTTCCAACTTAGTCACGCAAAATATGTCAATAGATATAAATTTAGGAATCTTCTATTATTTATAGGAAATATGTCAATAATAGTTAAATGCATCCAGAATATATTAACAAAAATCACAGATTATTAATATGTAATGTTTATATACCTTAACAAAATTTACACGTTATATATATTAGATAAATTTATTTCGATGTAAAATTTTAAAATTGTATTGTTTAAAAAAAAGAAATTGTTTAAAAAGTTCC